GTCTGGCGCTCGACATTAAGGGGCTAAAACAAGGACTGGTCGGCTCGGAGTCAGTATACTGTGTCTGAGTGGGGTATTCATATTAAACTGCGGCATTGTATCTCAGTGAGCTAGCACTATAAATCGGCATCAGTCCGGACTAGTACAAGCAGCCACAGACACACACGTGCATGCACGTCGCTATATAAGTGCAATAATCTTGGACGCGACGTTAAACCCAATTTCACCTCATCAACAGAAAACACCTAGTCACTTTCGTTTTGTTGTATGACCCTCGTGCATGATTATCATGGTAGGACAGGGCACATTTACTATGTATGCACAGGTATTACAATATAGATACCACAGCACTATATATAATTATATATTATATTGTCAATGTACAAAATGTTAATACTTTCTTGTTTCATGTCGCTGTCAGCCATAGTCTAGCTATACCGCGGGACCTGTAAGTGACACTCATTTTATCATGAACCGGTTGTCAAAAGTAGCACATTACATATGTTGACCTGATGGTGATAGCCATATATGTGACATGCATGGTAGGTAGTATAAAACACTGTATGAGACAGACTCATTCCATGCGATGTCGTTCAGCAGTTGGCGTGTATTTATTAAGTATAGAATCGATTAGGGTAACCATAGCTTCAGTACATAGCACATACATTACACACAGATCAAAGACAAAACTCATTTTATTTTTAAAAATGTAATGTACAATAGGAAATCATTTAAAATATATACCAGTATATCAACATTCCTGAATGAAAATGGCGAATTAACAATAAGCTGGAGACGTCATAGGTCGATTTACCTGTGAATATAGATCAGCTAAAAAGGTTTGCACCGTTTAAAGAAAAATAAATTATAATTTAAGGAATACTTTAAAATAAAAAAAACGTCAGATATACTCGATGATTTGACAGCGTTTCAGGGTAGTCAAATAGCCAATTCCTTCAACGATTTATACACCTGCACTGCACTACAAGTGAAACAGACTCATTTGTTGCATAATTATAACTATCCATAAAACAGTCAACTTACCAATTATGTCGACCAAAATTCCGGTAGCTCCAGTCTTTGGTGTCTTCATTTCACAACTGCTCATGTACAATTGAGCTTGCTCCTTCTACGGCGATTTCAAAGTGTGTCATACAATTTGTTTGATCAGGGCGACACAATTCAAGGTCTTAAAAGGCTTTCAAAGCATTTATGGTAGTCACGAGGAGGACATTGTAGGACCAAAATGATTCAGGAAACCATTCACCATTTGGACGTGTACCATATGTTCCCGTATCTGCTCAGGTGAACAGTTGACTTGACTTTGCATGTGTTTGGAACGGGTACCACCGGTGGGACAGGATACGCTCACATTATCTCGAACATCTGGTATCATCACTATTTGATAGTGTTTCACGAACACATGCTCCTGATATCGCTAGACCGCCTCTGTGGTCTTGTGGTAGAGCGTCCGCCCGGAGAGCGGAAGGTCCAGGGTTCGATCCCGGGCCGCGTCATACAAAAAGACGTTAAAAGATTGTACTTGTTGTTACCCTGTCTGGCGCTCGGCATTATGGGGCTAAAACAAGGACTGGTCGGCTCGGAGTCAGTATACTGTGTCTGAGTGGGGTATTCATGTTAAACTGCGGCATCGTATCTCAGTGAGCTAGCACTATAAATCGGCATCAGTCCGGACTAGTACAAGCAGCCACACACACACATACACGTGCATGCACGTCGCTATATAAGTGCAATAATCTTGGACGCGACGTTAAACCCAATTTCACCTCACCTGATATCGCTGTAATTGTACGGCGACTTCAATGCTTGTCACATACATTTCCTATGAATATGGAAATAATGTTGTGAGTCACTTTTACGTGTATTTACATAGTTGCAGGTTGTGCTATAACAATGATCTAATTATTTAAATAATACAGCTCAATTGCATCACCATTCATTATGCAGAAACCCACATGTATGATTTATGCTGACATTTTCAAATTTAAACTTTCGTTAATTAAGAATAATTAACACATTTTCCAAAAACATATGAAGTACACATTCCAGTTGTCGCTGTAATTTCAGCTAACTGTGATCAGAGATCTCTAGTGTGCAAACAGTCATATAAGCACACATTCCATTTGAATCCCTGTAATTTCAGCTAACTGCGATCACGGATCTCTATCTAGTGTGCAAAGAGTTGTGTTACATACATATAGAATACTAAACGAGCTCCCGTGTAATACCAATTTTATGAAACGAGTGAAAAGTTCTGGTATCTGACGAGCGAAAGCGAGTCAGATACCACAACTATTCACGAGTTTCATTAAATTGGTTTTACACGGGAGCGAGTTTAGTATTTTATTTATAACTGGCCATTTATAACGTTTTTAGAATTATACTGTTGAGTGTGAATAGGCTGACACCTACACGATCCACGTCATAATCCAACTGAGTTTAACACAGTAATACTTCAAATACGTCATGACGTATGAATTTAATACCATCCAACGGTCCACCATTAGAATTCAGGCGTCCGTTCCACAAAATTATCGTAGCGTTAAGGTTATCGCAACTCATATACTTTTAACTTAGACCAACGACTGTCGTTGCGCTACCGTACGATCGCCTTGTGGAACGGGGCCTTGCAAGTTTACATACCATCCAACGGTCCACCATTAGAATTCAGGCGTCCGTTCCACAAAATTATCGTAGCGTTAAGGTTATCGCAACTCATATACTTTTAACTTAGACCAACGACTGTCGTTGCGCTTCCGTACGATCGCCTTGTGGAACGGGGCCTTGCAAGTTTACAATCACGTCACAATACCCCATGACGTAATTTGTCGAATTTTGTTGCAAGATCCTTATATAATCCCCAGGGAGCTGAGAATGAAAACCGAGTGATAACTGATCCATTGACCGGGGTAATAATAGTGCAGCGCTATGAGCATCCACTTGGTGAATGGATTCCTGCGCAATATAAATGCACTTATTATTATTTAAGGCCACATGGCCCTTTGTAAGTTGACAGTTCAGTTGATGTTTTTGGTAACGTTATATATATGATATACACAATCTGAAAGAGAATATATGTTGTAACAGTAGAAATAGTGGACATATAACACCAACATTGTAGGATTTTTAAATATGAAGACGTCAACACCTGAGTGTCAGCGAAAAGGGTAAGCATTCAACATGACACAGCTAGTCAGTAACATCGGACAGTCAGACAGTTCATTGAGTAAAAAGGCCTAGGCTCATAATATACAATGAGTGAGTATGGTTTTACGCCGCTTTTAGCAATATTCCAGCAATATCACGGCGGGGGACACCAGAAATGGGCTTCACACATTGTACCCATGTCGGGAATCGAACCCGGGTCTTCAGCGTGACGAGCGAACGCTTTAACCACTAGGCTACCCGACCGCCCCATAATATACAGTGTTTAACTGGATGAACTGCGCGTGCCAATGAATTAATTAAATTTCTCTTTGCCGCTAAACTTAATACAAATATACATATATTCCATACCTCATATATGTTATATACAAACTTCGATAATCATTTAAGGATTGACTGGGTATTTGTTTCGGTCCATTGAGGTATGAATAGAAAAACCGATGTGCAACGTATGAATCCGCGTAAATGAAATGAATGCTATAACATTGGGAAATGAATGCAATAACACGTGACCAAGTCAGCTAATCAGAATGCAGGAATTTCAATGAACACAAAGCAAATTATCATGGAATACAGTCAACTGTGTCACATGTTATGAATGTATGGATTTACGCCGAAGTCTCGCTCGTTTTCAAATATAACCCTACCGGGGGCAATAACAGTGTGCCTTTACAAGCGAACTGTGTAATCACCCAGAGTCCCCACCTTCACAAGAGAAGGTAAGACGCGCATAATGAAGACAACATATAGTATAATATACTGGTATCTTATGTCACCCAAACACATGTTATTTAGCAGATAAAGAAATTGTACATATATTATTGTAATATTGAACAAATGAGGAGTTTTCAAATGGTTTCCCGTATTGTTTTGATTGAAATATGTCGCATTCAGACATCGCTAGTTGTCATCAATATACAGCATATGACTCATTCAGGCATCACTAGGTCTCATCAATACACAATATGGATTGGCATTGAAGATGTCTCTTTCAGACATCACTAGGCATCATCAAATACACAACATAGATTTGTAGTTAAGGTGGATTGAAAATATTCCTCAATGAATTCTTCATTTAGAACAATGTCAACATGGTTCATCATATACAAATACTTCTTTGGATCGTTAAGGTGAGGTGAGGTGAAATGGGGTTTAACGTCGCGTCCAAGATTATTGCACTTATATAGCGACGTGCATGTACGTGTGTGTGTGTGTGTGTGTGGCTGCTTGTACTAGTCCGGTACTATACCATGCCGCAGTTTAACATGAATACCCCACTCAGACACAGTATACTGACTCCGAGCCGACCAGTCCTTGGTTTAGCCCCTTAATGCCGAGCGCCAGACAGGGTAACAACAAGTACCATCTTTTAACGTCTTTTGGTATGACGCGGCCGGGGATCGAACCCGGACCTTCCGCTCTTCGGGCGGACGCTCTACCACTAGACCACGGAGGCGGTCGGATCGTTAAGGGAAACACCATTTAATATTAGATGTTTGAGTGTGTGGCGTGTTTGTGGGGCTAGAATTTGTAAAAGAGAGAGGATATTAATTTCTCTCACTGCATCAAAGTACACAATCAAATGTCTGTGAAGAGAGGAACCGAATGAAGTCAGTTTTGCAGAACACCTAGAGTGAACAGTGAATAGTTACTGTATTTAGGTCAAACCCATCTTTCCGAGGCAAGGGAGTTAACTGACTTTAAAAGTCCAGTTTCCACCCTAGCCGAACTAGGCAGGAATTCCAGGGCTCGATCGTTGCGCCACCTGTGGCTATTACAAGTTATGTCCCTTCCATGCCTCTCCCATGGACCAATCAGATTCCACCTCTCGTGTCACTTGCATTTGCTTCAAACAAAATGGCGGCGCCCTGTCAAAACGATCTGATTGATAATCAAGATCTAGATTGTGATAAAACGAGTCTTACATCCCGAAGTGCAGCCAATCATGCGAGAACCTTGATTAAAAACATGAAAAGATTTGGAAAATGTCTGTTGATCACGAGTTGGCGGAGCACATGCGTTACAAATCCTGCAATCGACAGACATTTTCATGACAGTTTACGGACCGGATTTCGATTTCGTTGCGCGATTTTGATTGGACTATGCATAGACTCGTTAGTCAAGCCAAAATGTAACTCAATAATACCAGCCTAGTTTGGCAGGGTGGAAACTGGACTTTTATAGTCAGCTAACTCCCTTGCTTCGGGAAGATGGGTAAAACCTGAGGAACGTGTTCTTTTCAAAAGACGTTTATGTGCTAACGTATTTCACATATGCAAATCAATAATACCTATGCATTTATATTGTTAGGAGTATATGTTCAGGAATAAATATAAAGGTAAAAAAATGTTCCTGGAAGTGTAGTAATTAAAGACACCCGCATACATTGTTGTCATTGATGGTTCCCCATTAACATAGATGTGTCTTCATGTTACTATTTCACCTCAAACTCTTTTTCACATTCTACTCTTGTTCTAAATACACTTATTGCAGCTGTCGTCATCGAGCTTAGAAACAAACATGTACCTGCAACAAGAAGAAAAAACAAACTAGAAAAGTGTTCATGTGGCCATTGAAGTTCAAATTCAAATTTAGGAGGGTGGACGATTGTCCCTGCGTAGAGTTGCGTCCCTTTTGTACGACAGACACCTATGTTTGTGGTTTCGAAACCCCCATTATGTTTCTAAGTTTGTCAGCTCGTCGGTTTCACCAAGGTGGTAAACGTCTGTGACCCGCATCACTTCGGGCTTCCCTTCCACATTAAGCTGACACGCCGTGATCTGACTGGAATACTGTTAAAAGCGGCTATAAAACCCAACCCAATACAGGCATAAACGGATACTTTTAAATAAGATGCATCATCATAAGAAATCGATTGACTTTAGCATAATTTGTACAAATATATTATTTGTTTGTTTAAATTTCTTATCGCCGCATTCATCAATATTCCAGTTATATGACGGCGGTCTGCCAATAATCGAGTCTTCACAGATAATTGGCATACGATGATAATTATGCATAATTTAAGTTAGCGAGCCTGACCACCGAATTCCGTCACGTGCCCAAGCATAATCGCTCTTACGACATTGTACAATATATAGAAAAACACAAAACATAGTAAAGTAACTAGTAAAAAACAATTCGAAAGAACATATTGCCTTTACATAAACTGATACATACACATTGCTTGTTGTAGAATAATGGTCTGCTAGTTGGAAAAACATTTGCGATTTATTTTACTCAAAAAGATGGTGTTCAGTTTAGATCATTTAGTTTGATATTTTAGTGTATCGAGGGGTCCTTATTACGTCGGACCGCTTCCATGGTGTAGTAAACAGGGCGTCTGCCTGGAGAAAAGAAGGTTGGTGGTTTGAACCCCGGTCGCGTCACACCGAATGAGTTGTGACCTGATACCTGCCTGACGCTCGGCATTACTGGACTATACGGACTGTCAGAATCCTGTGTCTGAATGGGGTATGCATGTTAAACACGCACACATGCGTGTCGCTAAAGAAGTATAATAATCTTGATCGTGATTCCAAACCCCATCTCACCTTACACCACCTTATTATTTCGAAAGCTATCATGGAAATGTGGCAAAGGGCTAATTGTAATTAATGCGGCTGTCGGATCAGTGTCTATAAGAATTGTTCTCTGTTGAAGCATATCTCACCTGCAAATACATACGTATAATCATAGATTCCGGTACTCTGGTAAATAAAGCCTGAAAAAACACAAAGCCATTCAATACATACAAGGGATTGAAAAGAAATATCTCAGAGTAATGAATTCATTCGTTTGTGAACATTTAAGTGACAAATGCATACACAATCGCCAATTTGTATACGGGACTCCAAACATTGTCCCCAGGGTGAGTGGGTATGTGATTATGGATCTACGCCTTTTCGCAATATTCCAGCAATATCATGGCTTGGGACACCAGAAATGGGCTTCACACACTGTACCCATGTCGAGAATCGAACCTGGGTCTTCAGCGTGACGAGCGAACGCTTTAACCATTAGGCTACCCGACCACTCCCGCATATCTTACATTAAAACAACAAGTTTGATAATTATCTGTGCATCTAATCTGTATTGTAGGTTCAAAACTTACTTGCGATGACTGGTCCTGAGAGATATCCGATTCCACAGAAGAAATACACTATTCCAAAACCAAGCGCAACATTTGACAGTCCTGTCAGTTCTATGACTATGGGGCCCATCAATACATTTGTGACATGGTTGTAGAGTCCATAGAAGAAACTGAAGACTATTTGCCAACGGTATGAATGAGACACAAGAGGGAACAAAATGGTGATTAGTCCAGCTACACCCACAAGACCGACCTGAATAACGGTCATTTCAATACGTGGGTCGGAGGCTAGAAAGCCAATGACAATCCTCGAAAAGAAATCGCCGGCACCCATTACGCTAAGGAGACTAGCGGCTTCTTTAGGGGAACTTCCTTTTTGTTCGACATAGTTTGGTAAATGGAAGACTGCAGACACTTCTCCTAATGACCAGAGCACGATGCTGCAGTTGTACACAAGAAACGATTTCTGAGTGACAAGTTTGAAAGTCTTACACAATAATGATACATTGCCGCTTCTCGCTTCGATATAATCTGTACGTTCCTCAGACCGGTTCCCGGAAAGACAAGGAGATGTTGAAATCCCTTCAGTGGTCACTTGATCCAGTTGATGAAATGGGTCACTTTCACCTAAATCATTCTGTTGTCCATGTTCTTCCTCATCCCGTTGTTCGAACGTCTTTGATGTTGTCCTGTTTCTCTTACTGGAAATAGTTGGTTTTCGAAATAACGATGCAGCAATACATCTTTGGAATGAAATTCCACCCATAATGAGAAGAGCTCCACGTAGATTGTATTCATCAAGGAGATATCTAGCTATAGGACCAGCTGCAAAGAGACCCAATGCTCCTCCCGCAATACACACTCCATAGGCAGCTGATCTCCTCCGTTTAAAATATTGTCCAGGTACCACGCCCACCACGTTTGCACCAAGGCATAATCCTAAACCTAAGGGAAAGTAATATGATGCATCGACAGGTTACATTACAGGATAACATGGTGTCATTATTGAAGATCAGTTAATGAAGCTAACACCTTCAGCGGGAGCGTGGAGCACGCAATATATCCCCTTGCCGTACCTCACATAAGCTTTCAAGAAATGGTCCCACCCAACATTGTATATATTTCCCCCTCACTGTGCTATTTGATGTGCAAAAAAACATATTATACATATGGCTAAATCCAAGATCAAGACAGATTCCTGCTCAAACTACTCATTGGCATTCAGTGATTCACATATTGAAATAATGTGTTTCATCATGAAGATATTCTGAAGCACTACAATACACGACATAGTAAATCAGAATCCTTGAATTCCTGTCATCTTTATGTTGTAAGATATTCACATTCAAGAACGATTAATGTTATGCGATGGAAACGTTACCTGTAATGAATCCATATGTGAATATCAGTCCGGTGATTGTCCGACAAATAGAAGCCAGTGCCATTCCAAACAACGTCAGTATTCCTCCAGCGAGTGCTGTTAGTTTAGACCCAAACCTATGCTGTACCATTCCTGCGACTGGGCCTGGGTAAAAACAATATTACACGAATGTAAATATTTTTCTAGAATACAAATACATGTTTACACAAACACATACATATAACATGACGCCATTGTAAACCGTCTCGGAAAATAAAGTATGCTATTGAAAATTAGATTTGACCGAAAAAGGTTCAAACGTCATCGAAAACGTTGATAGACTGAAGCACTGCAAATGTAAGTTCCACAACACACCCGGTTGGTTTGAAGGGTTCTCATTGAAATCCAGGTGCAGAAACGAAAAAAGCAATGCAATAAATCTTTCCCAATGCATCACAGGTAATGCAAGATCACAAAAGAAACGCATAGGAAGCAATGGGTGCTAACCTTCCAGATTGCAAAAACCCTGAACTGTACTCGTGAACTCGAACTCACTTTATTTCAGCTTCACATCATTAACGAGGCTATATGTAGAGTGCCATGAGTACAGATATGAATTAAGGATGACACTGATAGGTGGAGGTGTGTTCATGATTGTCTACTTAATCAGCAGCCACGATTATTAGACAATGATAATACATGATGGTTTTCGAAATACTACTGACCCGTGAAGATCCGGGGTAGACTAGGTCTTTAGCAACCCATGCTTGCTATAAAAGGCGACTATGCTTGTCGTAAGAGCCAAACACAAAAATTTGCTACACCTGCATCTAAACCACTCCTCCCTACACCACACCCAAACACCATCCCACAAACAAACACCACACCCATAACCGACAGCTCTGTCTGGGGCCCCTACCGAGAAACCGCACCCACCTCACACACACAAGTAGCCACTCAACAAACCACGAACCCTCCCACATCTCACATAGCCAAAACATCAACCCCCGCATGCAAAACAAACCTCAAAATGACCACCACAACACGACCCTCATCCAAGCACCCTACAGCCCATATGGTAACAACGCTCTCCCACAAGCAAGCACAACAACAAAACACAAACACTAAGAAATCATCAGCTACACCCATCCCACAAACACCTTCACAATCCTCCACATCACATGCCTCCCCCATGGAAACTCAATCAGCTAAACCTAATCTAACCGATGACGAAGAATTCTCCACTACTGAGGAAACAATAGACACTACTCCAACTAAAACAAACCAAACTCCCCAACCAGCCAACACCCTAAACCTAAACAACCTCACCTTACTCCTAGCATACATGCATAGTCAAAACTCACCAAAAGCTAGCATGAAATCCTTCTACAAAGTAGCTTTCAATCTAAAATTACCCGATCTTCCCTTCTTCCTCTTTAACCTCCATCTAAAAGAACTCACCGAATAAAATAAAAAATAAAAAATAAATCACCAATCACCCGAACCCAATATTCGAAGGACTAAATATTTTTCAGTGGAACGCCAACGGACTCACCTCCCACGGCCATGAACTAAAAACTAAATTTAAACTAAATAAAGGCCCTCACATTGCTTGTATACAGGAAACCAAATTCTCAAAAAAATCCAAATTCACACTACCTAACTACAACTCAGTTAGAACTGACAGAGCTAAACCGAAAACAAGAAGAGCCGCAGGAGGACTAATCATATTTATCAGGGAAGATATAAATTACGAAGAAATAAAAATAGACACGCCAAACCTAGAAGCCAACGGCATTAAAATCACATTAAATAACCGAAACATAAACATCATAAATATTTACCACTGGGCGGAACAAAAAGTCCAACCTGAGGATCTAAACAAACTACTCCAAATAAGCGATAAATCTACTATATTCCTAGGAGACTTTAACGCTCACCATCCTACATGGAGCATAGATGATAAAATAGATAATCATGGCAAATTAATCTCCGAATGGATAGAAACAAACGACCTAGTACTCCTTAATAGCAACCAACCCACGAGGTACGATAAGATAAACCAAAAAATGTCGGCTATCGACCTAACCATATGCACCGCAGATCTAGCCCAAAGTACTCAATGGGAAGTGCAAGACGTCCCGCTAGGTAGTGACCACTTCCCCATAAACATAACCATAGGAAATACAAACGTACCAATCCAAACAGAAAACCAAGAACCAAAATTCCATTACAATAAAGCTAACTGGGACCAATTCCAAGATATCTGCAACGAAGCTAACTTAAACGAAATAGAAAATAATGATCCAGAAACCTATTGTAAAAACCTTACAGACTATATAATAAACGCAGCCAAAACCTTCATCCCCTTCAAAACATCTAAGACAGGCAAACCGACGGTACCATGGTGGAATGAGGAAATAGAACAGACTAGACGAAAACGTAAATCAGCCTTCAATAAAGCAAAACGCGACTACAAATATTTAAACATAGCCCACGAACTAAACCACCAGGTTCAAAAACTAGTCCAAATAGCCAAAAGTAGAGACTGGAAAAAATTCTGCGAAGGTATAAATAACCGTACAGATGCCAGAACGGTCTGGCGCAAAATCCACGCCATCAGAGGCTTAAAACGACATAAAAAAAACCCTAACATTGACAACTCAACCAACCCCGCCCAAAAAGCAAATAATCTCGCCAACCACTTTTCGGCCGTTAGCAGTAACACCAACTTCAGTAAAAAATTCCAAGATAAACTTAAAACAGAAAACAAACCCACAAAAGAACCAAACAATAACAATCTAGAAATAAATCAACCCTACACAATGGAGGAGCTCCTCTACGTAATCCAAAACAGGAAAAAGGGCACAGCCCCAGGATTAGACCTAACTTCTTACCAAATAATTAAAACACTCCCCCTAAAACTACTCCAGGCACTACTCAAACTATACAATCTCATCTACCTAAACGGACAGGTTCCTACTCCCTGGAAACAGGCCCTAGTCATACCAATCCCTAAACCTAATAAACCAGCTAATCAAGCTAACTCATATAGACCAATATCCCTAACTTCAAACTTATGTAAAGTAATGGAATCAATGGCTAAAAATAGATTACAACATTACTTAACCCAAAATAACATCATAAACCCAGATCAAAGCGGTTTCACTCCTGGCCGCTCAACCCTAGATAACCTCGCCCGACTAGAACAAGATATTAAGACAGGACAGCTAAATAAACAATATACCACAGGCATCTTCTTAGACTTCTCTAAAGCTTTCGACATGGTATGGCACGATGGGCTAATACAAAAACTTAAAAAAATAGGACTCAAAGGTCAGATAATAAACTACATCCAGGACTTCCTAAACAATCGTAAAATAACCGTGGGTATAGACCAAACTCTATCGGACCAATGTCCCCTAGAAAATGGTACTCCACAGGGCAGTATCCTCAGCCCCACCCTCTTCAATATAATGATAAACGATCTATTCGAGGGCCTATCCCCTAAAGTAAACACATCAAAATTCGCGGATGATGGAGCCATCTGGATCCGCACTAAAAGCATGAACATGGTCCAAAATTTACTCCAAAAATCTCTTAATAAAATACAACAATGGGCTGACAAATGGGGCTTCTCCCTTAACTCAGAAAAAACAACAGGAATAGTATTCAAACATAAAAACATGAAACCCGCCTCCCCAATCCTCCAGCTAAACAATCAAACAATCAAATTTCAAAAACAAACCAAATTCTTAGGACTTATTTTCGATGAACATCTCACCTGGGATGCTCACATCCAAAACCTAACAACTAAATGCAGTAAAGACCTAAACACCCTAAGATGCCTAACTGGCTCTAACTGGGGAGCATCCAAAGATACCCTCCTCTCTCTCTACATATCACTAATTAGATCTAAACTAGACTACGGCTGCGCCATATACAACACCCTAAACAACTCTCTATCTAAAAAACTTGACTCAATACAATATCAGGCTCTCAAACTAATTACACGCACCCAACATGGCACCTCCTACATCTCACTTCAGGCCTTAACAGGAGAAATGCCACTAAGTCTACGCAGGGAACAGCTAAGCTTAAATTTCTGGGCCGCGTCCCAATCAAACCCTCTCATCCAAAACTTAATAAACCAAAACATCAGCCCCAAAAACCAAGCTCTAGCTCGTAAACACCCCTTACTTACCCCAATATCCCAAAGAATAACAAACTACCTAAATGAACACCAAATTAAAAATCTTAAACAAAACTGCAAACAATCAAATATCTTCACCCCTAAACTTAAAATACCCAAAATAGACACAACACTAGCTAGCCAAATAAATAAACAAACCGACCCAAACATAGCTAAAACTACCACACTAGCATACATACACGAAAATTGGCCAAATTGGTGTCACATTTACACGGACGGATCCTCAGATCCGACCTCCAAACACACAGGTTTCGGAGTCCATACCACACAACCAACTAAAACCACACAATCCTTCCGACTCCCAAACAACCAATCAATATTCACGGCAGAACTAATGGGCATGGCCTCAGCCCTCCATAATCAACAATCCAAAAACCACCAAAAAATCCTAATACTTACCGACTCCCTAAGTGGACTGCAAGCCCTCCAAAACAAAAATACCAAAAACCGACCTAAATTAATAAATCAAATACTTAAAAGCTCCAACGACCTAACTAAGGCAGGCAAACAAGTAACCTTCTTGTGGATACCCGCCCACGTAGGATTATACGGTAATGAAAACGCCGATAAAGCAGCTAAACTATCCCTCAAAATCCCAGAAATAAGCTTAAACTTACCCATCTCAAAATCTGAAATTAAAAGTGTAAACAAGCAAAAAATCACCAAAAAATGGCATAACCTATATCTAAACTCAAATAGCCAAATCAAAAAAGTGCTCAGCAAACCACTAACCAAACCAAAAATTCTCCATCCATCCAAAAAAATCGACAGAGTAATCACTAAACTCCAAACAGGACACACCAACCTAAATAACCACCTAAATTTTTTTTAAAAACACACTACAGGTAACTGCCCACACTGCAAACAACCAGAAACCCCAGAACACGCACTCATCCACTGCACACACTACCTAACACATCGAACCGCATTACAAACCACCCTCAATCTAAACAAGGCTCTAACTCTAGAAGCAATACTAAACCCACAAAATAAACTAGAAAACTTCAAGGCCTTAGGCGTATTCTTAATCAAAACGGAACTAATAAAACGCATCTAAAAACACAATAACTCACCAAATCAAAATCACATAAACAAACAAACATACACCATACCCAGCTCCCTTAGTTCTCCTCCCCAATCCCATCGGCATCTATTCCAAATCTCAAAATTCCCAAATTCTATATAAGCAACCCCTAAAACCCCCCTCTTGGGTTGCACAGACCACCTTCGCCCCTTTCGGAAACACATTAAATGGCCTGGCCGGGCCCGTGTGCGAAATACGCATCAGTCGGAAAGCGCACGTTAAATCTCCAAAGTAAGTAAGTAAGTAAGTCGTAAGAGCCGACTAACGGGATCGGGTGGTCAGGCTCGCTGACTTGGTTGATCCATGTCATCGTATTCCAATTGCGTGGACTGATGTTCATGATGCCAATAACTGGATTGTCTGGTCCAGACTCTATTATTTACAGACCGCCGTCATATAGCTGGAATATTGCTGAGTGCGGCTTTAAACAACAAACAAATCAAAATACTACTATTTTTACTTACTATTTGCTTGGCACAGGTATATCTAATCAATGTGTCCTTCTGAACAGGTAATTCCCTATTACATGTTCTAAATTGTATAGCGGTTACAAACAGCTGAAATGGGAGACTTGATAAATACATTCACGTCTACAATGTTATATGACGCTTACCATAAATACAAGCTTCAACTGATGATAGCACTGAGAAGAGGATGGCTGTAAATGATTGTCTACGAAATCAACAGCATTGGTTGTCAAACAATCATATTACTCCATGGATTTCGGAGGAGTATTTTGTTATAACATTTTGCACACTATTCATGTTCAAGATGGCAGTAAACTCATTAACACCAGGTCTTACAACTTACCTGAGAAAAGTATATCTGATCCATCTGCCTTGGTTAACTGGTAATCTTTTATTACATATTCTACAATTTACAGGTAGTATTAATAGCTGGGGTTGGATACTTAATGAATAGACTTCAAGTCTCCAATGCTATACGAAGTGCACAATAAATATGCATTTAAATTAAGGATGACATTGACAGGTGGAGATGTGTGAATGAAAACTTTTGCAAGAATCCACCACGCGAACTCATACAGTTTGCACATCGGTTTTTCGATTCATACCTCAATGAACCGAAACAAATACACAGTCAATCCTTAAGTAGTCTATAATGTCATATGACCATGAATATGAAACCAAACTAAGAATAGCACTCCCAGGTGGGATGTACAAGACAGGACAGTACTTACTCAACAATAGCGGTTGTTAAACAATCATATTAGTTCATGGTTTTCAAAATAATAACTATAAATCGTGACAACATTTGTAATTTTGATACATTATTAGTTTCAAGAGACTATTCACTGGGATGACTGGAACTTGCGCACTTTCCATTTGCTCAAAAAGTTCGCCAGGAAATGAAATGAAACGGCAGCAACTGCGTCAGGACGCCGCATCAGTCGACGTGCTGTCCTACGACTACTCCGTGTCGCAGGTATTCGAGCCCGCTGGCAGGGAGTGTATTCCATTATGATGGTCGTGTTCGGGTGTAGCGTCCTTAGTCGGTGTGGGTGTGTGGGCGTGTGGGGATGGGTGTGGGTGTAGGGGTGGGGGTGCACCACGTCGCGATCAATATAGTGGCGGCTGTGGTTCATCGTCCGTCTTACTACAACCGAATGAAAACGTTGAACACCTACCTAGTAATGTATAGGAGCCGATGAGGGTTGACCCGATCCATGACACTTTTGTGATGTCATTCTCCACCACCTCCATCAAAGCAATGTTAAATATTCCGGACGAATAAATGATGATACCATCTATAAGCTGAATACTGAGGGCTGCTCCCAGCGCTACCCAGGCGTACCCACGGTCAACGTCGACTCCTGTCTCCATGTTTCACTGGATACAGAAAGCAATGGACTCCACGAAGAATGTTGACACACACGAAATCTTAACCGGGAGCCACACAAATGGATGTGTACACAGTAATTTCAGAATATTCAAACTCGCAGTTAATCAAACTCTGTGCGTGATAGCCATGTAAATCACACAACACATGAATATAACCTATTGTAGCTTATGCCTGTGTTACTATCACCACGATTGAGGCGGCTTTCTAACAACCAGATGGTATCCAGGACCAATTATGTACCAAAGGTCAATGTTATTACCTGTCGACACAATGAGTGAGCTTCTCTCCAGCATGCCTGTTGACAATCGTCATCTTCAGAATGTTACACTTTTAACGTAACCGTTGAATGCGTGTCTCAGCATACTACTAGCATTTGACCTCGGAGACTTACAGAGGCAGCTTGTCACAGTTAGAATACATTGCGTGTATAACATGCTGCTGCGTGCTGTGCGTGCTGTTGAATTCATGTTGTGGACAGATCCAGTGACGTCATGGTTCAGGAGCAGTACACAAACACTCCATGTGCTGTCCTCCAGCTGTAGGAGTTATCGAGTATCAAACGCTTTAACTCCTGCATTCACAATTCGCAGCTCACTCATGCAGTCGTAATTTGAATGAGCATTACTGACTCCAGCTATCACAGCGTATAGGCCTCGGCATAGGCCTTCAGTGTACAAGAAAGGAATAGACATGTTGGAATGTATAGAAATTGAATTGAAATACATAATAGACAGACGGTATAGCATTTGACACTGTAAATGGACCTTGTTTATGGCAGGACTGCTACGAATTGGAGTCAAAATACTGTGAGGGGCGGTTGGATGGTTAAAGCGTTCACGGCGAAAACCCGAGTTCCTTTCCCCACATGGGTGCAACGTGTGACGCCCATTTCCGGTATATCCGCCACGATATTGCTGGAATATTGCTAAAAGCGGCGTAAAACCATACTCACTCACTCACACTCTAATGATTTGTCGTGTTCGAAGTGTGCGGAGGTGTTGGCGTGTGGGGTGGATATTGCTTGAATATTGCTAAAAGGGGCGGAAGACTATATTCACTCACTCACAATATGATGACGACACGTATTAAGTGCGCTTAAATAACTTATAACGAGTACGTTTACAGTGTATGGTGGTGTGAAGCAAGGCTGCAAGCTATCCCCAACTCCATGTATGTGAATGGCCTGGCGGAAGGTAGTTAAGCAGCTGGGATTTGGCACAGATATAAGTGATGTAATATTATCACTGCCACTCTAGGCTGACGAAATCGCTTTCATTGCTCCAGACGCAGACAGACCGCAGACAATGTTAGAGAGCCATGTACATGCCGTACAAGATGGAGGTTGGAAACCAACAAGGACAAAAAGAAGGTGATCCTTCTCCGCACAGACTCTATGAATAGATCAATATGTCACATCAGTTGCGGTGAGCAGATAGTAGTTCTGACAAGCTGCTGTGCGTATCTGGGGAAATGGCGCAATGAAAACCTACATGTAGATATGAAGAAGACTGTTCGAGAATTATGTCACACTGCTAGCAGAGCTCTACACCAAGACTTTAGTACTGGCGCAATGAAGGCAGGTTATTTGACGTATACACCACGGTGGCCACTCAGTACTATTTAATGGACCAGGTGTTTGGGTGTTAGTATGTTCAGTGAAGCTCAGACTATACAGAATATGGCTTGTAGATATTTTGTTGAAGTGGGACGAAATGCTTCAAATACAGTCACAAAGGATATATGGGTAGTGTTTCGTGTACAACCGTGGTCACAGGTGGCCCAGTCGTCTAAGGCTCTGCATTTTGGCCCCTTGGACACGCCAGAAACCTATGATCATGGGTTCGAATCCAGGTTCGCCCATTTTTGTTTCTGGGTATGTCTGCACCAAAACCGTGCTCGGGGGTTTCACCAAAGTGGTAAACGTCTGTGACCTGCATCTCTTTGGGCTTTTCTTTCAAATTATTTACTGGAATACTGTTAAAAACAGCATAATCCCAACTCAGCTCACTTACTGCAGGCTCACTACAAGAATAGATCATATGACACCTGACAGGATGGTCCGGTGACAACAGCAACATGTTCACATTTTAAGAGCAGTTTTAAATCATGTGGGTGGACTAAAATAAAAACTGAATTATCCAGAATTCTTTTGTATTTGATTAACAGGTACGATTTAGTAGGTATACATGGAACTTTTATCTGAGAACATAAGATAACATGGTTTTAGGAGTGGTGATGGAATTCGTCGTGATTTCTGCCAGTCCATTGCATGCATTCTTATTGCCTCTTCAGATACATGAACTGTTCCCATATTAAACATGTCATGCATAATAGTTTCTATGCTCATACGTCTGTTTTTAACGCCAACATGCCAAGTCGCCTTCTGTCACCAATAGTCAAATGCTTTGGCCTACCTGCTTCCTTTATTGACTCAATTCCATCTCCACTCTCAATATTATTGTAAAACACGGTACACAGCTGATAGTGGAATACCTGTTCTCTCTGTAATGTCCTATGCTGATCTAATTCCTTGATTGTATAATTCAGAAATAATTTTAAAAAATTCAAAGCTGCCATTTCCACAGTGGTCTCGTTTGCCTCGGCCGGCTTGTTTACCAAGGGAGAAAACTCTGGTCACACTTTACAAATATGTTGTCTCCCTTGAATCAAAGTCAGAATAAGTTCTATATTTTCCCTTGGTGTGGTAAATATTGATGGTCAAAATGGTTTGAAAAATTCTTAATAATATCTGATCAAACTTAAGTATAATATATAATAACAGGAACCATGCTAATGAAATGAGATCAGGAGGGATAGGTATGAATTATTTAATTTATACAATTTTAAATAGAATATCAGAATTTTATCTTTAGACAAATATTTCAAAAGACGTAATAAAGGCAGGTAATGCCTTAATCTTGGATGGAAAGGAAAGATCGCGAGAACCACGGGAATGGATCCAAGAGTTAGTGTAGTTTTAGCGATATACGAGCCCTGGAGATACCGAGGACGAACAGCTGTGGGCTGCCAATGTAACTGATTCTAATAAATGTATATCTACATGCTCTTCAAAATGAATTGGATACCTGAAGTCTCCCGCATCGGCTTTGTAGATCATTTGTTACATTCAGAACATGTAATCATACATTACCAATTGAGAAGGGTGGTTTGACACAGAGCATGACAGATTGTGTTTAATATGTGAACGATTTGGGTGATGAATATCATTATTTACTGATATGCCCTTACTTTCAACTGTGCATTAATAGAAATATCCACGCTAAGTATGCTAACGGAATAAAGTAACTGTGGTTCATAGAAAGTGATGTTTATGTTGTGTTATTGAAAATACCAACATAATAGTTGGTTATTCTTCTGATCAAGACTTTATCATAACAAATACATTGACAAAACCCATACCTGGAGACAGCGACACGCCGCAGAAAAGGGGCAATTAACAATGGCAATATCGGGTGTGACCACTATTTGCATTGATACAGACGATGCAGTGGCGGCCCAATGAGGACACCAGATGATTGAAAACAGCCTGGGGGCTGTTGTTTCAAATTTCAAGCAAAGATTGATCCAACTGAGCAAGTGTTACCCGCTTCTTCTGGTCCTGTCGTAGGCGTCTCTCTCTCACATCCCTGGCATTGTCTATAGGGTGGTATTGGAAGAAGGTCTGGAGCAACAGGTAGCCTTGGCAGTACAGCAATGTTATGCTGGAAAAGTCTGTTACAGCACTTGCAACATGTGGGCGGTCACTATCGTACTACACGGGGAAGTTACGCCAATGCATTTGTACAAAGGGTAGAATATTGTTCTCTAAGGTTTGATGTACCTATGCACGTGAGAGACGAGGGCGATTCAGGACCTCATTCCAGGGTCGGACGTGAGACGTATCTACTTTACAAGTGCGGAAGGGATAGGTATCTGAATTCGCCGACATTTCTGCCTGATTCCAAAACTGTTTCCTGTAGCAGGACCGGAGCAGGTGCCTCATTCAAGAGATTCGACTCTGACAAGTTCGAGACATTCGTGAGTCCATTGACGAATAGAATAGGTCTGCCAATGCTTATACGTTTTATTGTGTTGCATTGTTCTGTAAACTGATCCCAGTGTGTTTCAATGTAATTTGTTTACTGTTCATTGATCTTGTGTAGTTATTTTCTGGTTTCAAAATTTAGCTCTGACGTATCGATCACAGATTGCTTATTGTTTCATAAAAATACTCATGAGCACGGGTATGGTGCAGACAAACTTCGGGACGAACCCGGATTCGGACTCCCAATCATAGGTTAAACTGTATCATTAAGTTTGTAATTGACGGCGGTTTCCTGTCAAAATGGGACGTCTGGTGGGTCTTCCGGCGACAATCACTGCACATCTGAGGCGACGAGGTACGGTTTGTGAAGATATTCGTCGAAGGCCAGGGATGCTTCTTGCAGTCACTGTTGCTGGCTGGAATCGATTTCGTAGGTGTGTTGGTCGAATCCAGTTGTCTTGTCGATTATTGGTTACGCGTGGCCTGCCAATCCGAGGATAGTCTCTGACTGCATTCGTCTGTTGCCAACGTTACCATAAACACCAAATGGTGTTTCTGTGGACGTTAAATTGTCTTGCAACATCACGTTGACTCGATCCTGCTTCAAGCATACCAATGGCTCGCAGACGCCCATTTTCGGACAGGCGTGGCATTTCGTAATGTTGAATAATTGCGTAGTTTTGTTGTTGTTCTGAGTGGTTGTTGTCTGAACGATGCTAAACAATGCATATGGAATCCCGTTAACGCACATGTTTTTATACCCTTTTTAGGATAGTGAAATGCATAATCAGTGCGAACCGGGATTCGAACCCACAATCATAGGTTTCTGACGTGCCCAAGGGACGCAACTCTGCACAGCGAATTGCGGCGCCTTAGACGACTGGGCCACCCGTGACCCCCTGATATCTCTGAAGTGGTGTTGGTTTGCCAAGTGTTTTCTTCCTGCAGCATCATGAGATATCAGCTATACTTTCGTCTTTCTTTGTCAAAGCACAACATAGTCGACCTCGTGGAAAACTCATTTATTTTTGCAACACAGAAATGTATAGCTTTACTGTTCTGTGTATATGTGTGTATATGTTTCACTACATATACATATCGCTATTTGAATATGCACGTAAGCACATAAACACATATTATTTTCATAACAATTAAGCTGCATGAATTGATAAAATACCCAACTGTTACCCTATTATGGAATGAACTGTGCACTAAATCCATATACGAGCGTACATGTATAATCTGAACCATCATACATACCTTAGTTATTATCAACTTTCATTCAGCTGACACCAATACTGACACTAGTTTCTTCACACCTACTGCGCCTAGTCAACTTTATCGCGGGGCGGTCGGGTAGCCTAGTGGTTAAAGCGTTCGCTCGTCACGCCGAGAACCGGGTTCGAATCCCGACATGGGTACAATGTGTGAAGCCCATTTCTGGTGTCCCCCGCCGTGATATTGCTGGAATATTGCTAAAAGCGGCGTAAAAACTCACTCACTCACTCACTCAACTTTATCGCCATAGGGCAGATTTGTGTTACACTTACAACATCAGAGATAAGGTGAATGTTATACGAGTACAGATGTGGGGTATCTACATCCTACGGTTTTCAATATCAGGCACACTTGCTTGAATAAACCCAAGCAACTCACAGCTCTCTCCTCTCTTGTTCCAAGAAAAGAAATATTTAAATCTTTTAAATCTATGTCTAAACTTCTTATTTCATGGTTATTATTGATGAGGAAAGGTAAGGGTTTTTTGAAACAGTATTTCCGTATTACAGCGCTCAATCTAATATGTACAAGCACATGCTAGTCCTAAATGGCTGCTGGTAATATATTATTTACCGTTTAATACTTAGGCACTATCCAATGATGCTTTACGTGTATTGCGTCGTTGGCTCCACAAGTTTTTATGTCTTTTATGTACAAAATCCACTAATATTCCATTCTATATTTCCACATCTCTGATGATACTCCAATTGTATGTCTATGTTCAACATGCTCTTCAGCATGACAAATGTATGTACTCATTAATCAGTCTCGTTCATCCGACACAGTGATCAGCGTACTCCGTGGTCATCTCCCCGCGAGTACACAGCCAGTGTTTTGATGCGAGGCGAGGCGCCTGGTAGCTGCATATTACAAAGTTGCAGAGATAAACTTTGCTTAACAATAAACAATAAATGCTTTAAATAAAGAAAACAGGATTAATCACATGCTTAAATTACCTCAATCTCATTAAAATCAGATATATTTCTCGCTATCGCCGAGGACATACCATTACAGGTCACGTCAGAAAAACCTTTTGTGAATATGACCGACGAACGTTGGTACTACCTAATTTATTTTATCCGACATACTCGTTAATCCGACATAATCATATGCAACCAGCCATGTCGGATTAACGGGACGTGACTGTATGTAGAATTTCGTTCTGTAGCGAAGCACACATGTAGCTTAGTCACAAAACGGTTCTCAGAGTTAACACAACTGCTTCAAGCAATATTTATTTTATATGTAGGTCAGGTATTCAACATTTTCCGACATTCTGAGAATGTACGCCTGAGACCAAGCGCCCGCCAACGTGGCGGAATGGCGGGCAATGCCATGGGCAACCATACGCCCGTCATGTTAATCAACAATATGTCATCAAGGTGTCTTGCAGGTATCGCCCAACATGGTGCGCACAGCGGATATTGATCATGACCTGCACGCCCGAAATTAATTTTGCACATATTTATCGTCATCACACCTTCACATTATTTCATCAGGGCCCACTTGCACAAAGCGATCTTAGCGCTAAGACTATTGTAAGCCTATGCTAAAGTATGGGACTTAAGATCATCTTAGCGCTAAGATCGCTTTGTGCAAGTGGGCCCAGGTCTCATAATTTTTGTCGGTAGTATATCGTCGCGAACTGTGTTTTCGAGCCCCTGAAAGTATTTCTCATTACTTGTCCAATAGGAAATCGCAATACACTAAGATTAAGTCTAAACTTTAAAAACATGTATTTCTGTTTACAATTGAATAGTCAAATGACCACATCTTGTCAACTTAATTGTGATAATCACTCGCCAAGCGAGAGGAGTCAATCAGGCGCCATCTTGTTACCGTCACCTCATTTCGAGCCCCTCCGTGACAGTCAAGTTATAAATAGATGCACAACGTGATCAGTCACGTGACATTACAGACAGGAAGTTTACAAACAGTAGCCGACATACCATAGGTGCTTACGATTGTTCTGATGAAAAATTATCATCAGATCAAGTTTGATTCTAATGTGAATTAGTGAAACAGTACGTTTTGATGTATGTCTTCATTACTTGAATATCTTACGTCGTGTAGCGTAATTCGTAACATAACTTCAGCGATAAGTGTCGAACACTTTGAAGTCTTCAGAGAGCTTTGAAGTTTCTACCTTGATTACGTCATTAAGCGCGTAGTATTTATGGGCTCGAAGAGAGGTGAGGCTCAAAAACATGTTATGTGGGGATATACAGTAAACTACGGTTATAACGAACTCAAAGGGCCCACTTATTTTAGTTCGTTATAACCGTAGTTCGTTACAAGAATATATACAACATATTTACAACAAATGGCCGAGACTAAAACGTAAGTTCGTTATATCAGTCAGTTCGTTATAAGCGTGTTCGTTATAACCGTAGTTCGTTATAAGCATATATACAGCATATTTACAACAAATGGCCGGGACTAAAAAGTAAGTTCGTTATATCAGTCAGTTCGTTATAAGCGTGTTCGTTATAACCGTAGTTCGTTATAAGCATATATACATCATATTTACAACAAATGGCCGGGACTAAAAAGTAAGTTCGGTATATCAGTCAGTTCTTTATAAGCGTGTTCGTTATAACCGAAGTTTCCTGTATATCAGGTGATTGTATCCGTCACAAAGGCGTCTCCTGCAAGCATCTCCCAGCAGAGGTAAATGCCACTTTATTCACTGGATGTGGACACATGGCGCAGACACATGCTGATGTCCCAATGGTTCCTTAACGCTACACTTGCTCCATCTAGCGGCTATGCATCCATTCTCTGTCATTACGTTCTTTTTGCCAAGCTAACAGCTGCTGCTGACATTGCACTTAATACCAAGGATGATCCTGATGAGATAAAATAATTATAGATGTAATATATGTCTACGCAAGCTGTCACGCCAGCATTTTCATACATTCTAGGCAATGCAGTCTCATTTAGTAAAAGGAGGAGGTATGAATTATCAATCGTTTCATTTTCTCTGTTTGTCACATATATAGATAATGATTATAATATCTTACCTGCAAAAATGTACGTATAGTCGTACACTCCACTTAACCTATAAATCCAACCTGAAAATATAAACGAAGTTTTCTGAATGTTATTATGGAAAAATAAACAATAATATACGGGCAAGGAATAAAGGATATGTTTAAATTTAGACTTCTGTTCATCTTCGCACGGGGCAAGGGAGATAACTGACTGAAAGTGTCCATTTTCACCCTTGCCGAACAAGGCTGGAATTTCGTGGCTTGGTCGTAGCATCCCTTATGGCTATTACGAGTTATGTCCCTCTTACTAACCAATCAGATTCCACCTCTCATATCACTTGCATTTGCTTTAAACAAAATGGCTGCGCCCTGTCAAGTTGATCTGATCGCTAACGAAGATCTTTATTGAGTGAGTGAGTTGGGTTTACAGCCGCTTTTTACACTATTCCAGTTATATCACGGCCATGTCGGCCTAATGAGGGAGGAAAGCCCGAAGTGATAATCAGGGCGAATCGGGATTCGAACCCACAATCATAGGTTTCTGGCCTGCCCAAGGGACGAAACTTTTCACAGCGAATGGCAGCGCCTTAGACGAGTGGGCCACCCGTGCCCCCAGATCTTTATTGTTATAAAACGGGTCTTATCATGTCATGTCAGCTCCTTGATCAAACAATGAAAAGATTGGGAAAATGTCTGCCGACGTCCAGGTGGCGGTACAAATGCTCTGCAAATCCTGCAACTGACCGAAATCTGTACGGCAGTCGCCATGTTCTTTATGAACCGGACGTCGATTTTGCTACGCAAGTTTGATTGGTCTATGCATAGACTCGTTGTTCCAGCCAAAATGTAACAGTTTTTACTCCATAATTCCAGCATAGGTCGACAAGGGTAGAAACTGGATTTTCTCAGTCAGTTCAGTCCCTTGCCTCGGGAAGATGGATAAAGCGTTATTATATTTAACTTTGCATTTAGGAAAACCCAACAGAATAGAATCTAGATCCATCTCCAACATTATAAGGATCAAAATACGAGCAGTTGATGATACAGAGATCTTGTTACCAAGGTAGTTATTGTGACAACGTGATCTCAGTTAAAACGCCACAGTGGGTTGCAGTGGAAATAGCGCATGACAAACAAATATCAGAACTGAGCAGTATCTTCCACTTACTTGCTATTGGGGGTCCTAATATGTATCCAATTCCCTGGAAGAAAAATGCAAACCCATACGCCACTGGAACATCCTTCACAGTTACCAAGTCTAGGACAATAGGGCCAATCAGAGTATTAATACCTTGGCTGTATGTCCCATATAGAATCCCAAACACCAACTGTGTGTTATACGTGTGAGAATATAGAGGGAAGAACAACACTATTATCCCAGAAAGTCCTAAAAGGCCAAACTGGATGATAATGTATGGTATTTTCGAATCTGAAGTCATCATTCCTGCAACTATTCTGGAAATGACACTACCAAATCCCATCGCCGTAAAAACAGTTGCAGCCTGATCCGACGAGCTTCCTTTAAGCTGAGTATAATAGGGGAGGTGAAATACAGCCGAAGATTCTGCTAGAGTCCACAGCGTCAAGCTGATGCAATACATAAGAAATGCCATTTCTTTAAATATTCTGAAAACAATAAAGACACTGCATATATGTGATTTAAGTCCTGCTTTTGCTGGATCGTAAAGTGATGGAGAAAGCGATACATTGTCATGACCTAAGGTTATTAAACCATGAATTGGTTGGTCAGTGGTTTCATGCTCCGTATCCTCTAAGCCATCAACTTCTGCTTTCTTTATTAATAAGGATATGGCAGTTTTGGATAGTTCATGCATAGAGGTATTATTTTCATCTGTGAGCTTGTTAGTTGGTGTTTCTTCTGTGGAGATAGTTAAACTTTGGGAATGTCCATGACGTAATGGCCTGAAAGTGACACCGGTGACACACATGTGAAATTCTACAGCACCAAGAATAAGCAAGGTCCCACTTAGATTGTAGTTCCTGAGAAGGTATCTCACAAGAGGCCCGGCAGCAAAAAGACCCATTCCTCCACCAGCACTGCACACACCAAATGCAATCTCTCGCCTCTTTAAAAAGTAGTTTCCAGCAACTACACCAACTACATTACAAGCAAGACACATACCAAATCCTGCAAAAAAGAAACAAAGTTCGTGTCATGTCATTTCAATAAGCAAAATCACAAATAGGGGTTTACATGATTTACTTTCACTCACTATATAGCATGTAGTATTGCATAAAATATAGGGCATCCTTTTAAGAATAACAACGCATCAACTGAAAAATATATCCAGCTCATTTGCAACTCCCAGCCTTACCCTGGGTGATGCATTGGTTTGAGTTAACCTTAGAAACTATAGCTGATAATATTAATATCTATCAATGCAATTATGATTACCAAGACGTTTTTAACGCAGACATTGTTTTCGTAATTGCTAATTAGATCCGCCGTCCATTACATATAGGTCACATTTTCAAAAATAAATATGAAAAAAAGTATTATTTGAAAGGAAATCGATCCTACATTTTTGCAAAGCGTCTCATATCAATGGGTTTTTTTTCCATTTAGACCCATATCTGATAAAATCACCAGTGAACTAACTCAGTATTTCCAAAATTGTCACAATACCTGATATTAAGCCATAGGTCAGTACAAGACCTAATACAGATTTGCAAAAGGAGGCACTCGTCATTCCAATAAATGTCAAAGCGCCAGCGATCAAGGCTGTGGTACGTGAACCAACTTTATCCTGGATTAAGCCAGCGACGGGACCTGTGAATTTGACAGTAAGTCGTTCAGGTATCTTAGAACTGCTTGTAGCCAGCAGTCAGTCAAAGTGTGCTAGCTAAACTGGGGAAAGGAAAGGCAAAGGTTGGTGAGAAGATTGTGAAAAGGTGTCGGTTATGTGTTTCATGGAGGACCTTCAAAGGCGGCATTAAACCCAACTCATTCACTCACTACAGTGAGTAATTCAGTGAGTGAGTGAGTGAGTGAGTTGGGTTTAACGCCGCTTTTAACATTATTCCAGTTATATCACGGCGTGTCAGCTTAATGTGGGAGGAAAGCCCGAAATGATGCAGGTCTTAGACGTTTACAACTTCGGTGAAACCCACGAGCACGGGTATGGTGCTGACAAACCTCGAAACATAATCGGGGCGAACCGGGATTCGAATCACAATCATAGGTTTCTGGCGTGCCCAACTCTGCATAGCGAATCGCGGCGCCTTAGACGACTGTGCCACCCGAGCCGCCGAGCCCAGTAAATCAGGTTAATGTTATAGGGTATCAGTTTATATCAAAATGTAAAAACAAGCTCTCTATTTTCTCATATTAAATGGATAGAGTTACGAGATGGAGAGTTTTCAATAAATATGACACATTTATGTTAGGATATCGATCTTGATGACATTGACATACCTAGTAAAGTACACGTCCCAAAGTTTATGGAGCCTACCCAGGAGGTCTTCGTCAGATCGTTTTCAATTTCATCCAACATGGCGATGTTCATGACGCCCGGAGAGTACGCCAGTAGCCCTACCATGAACTGTAGGGCGAAAGCAGCTGCCAGGACCACCCAGGCGTAGCCTCGGTCTATATTTGGGTTTGAGACTTCCATTCTGTCTGCATGAAGGACACGCATGATAACATATTCACATTACATATTCACAATATCTTGTTTGTTTGTTTGTTGTTTAACGCCGCACTCAGCAATATTCCAGCTGTATGACGGCGGTCTGTAAATAATCGGGTCTGGACCAGACAATCCAGTGATTGACATCACGAGCATCGATCCACGGAATTGGGATACGATGACATGCATCAACCAAGTCAGCGAGCCTGACCACCCGATCCCGTTAGTCGCCTCTTGCGACAAGCATGGTCGCCTTTTACTCACAATATTTAATATGAACACATATAGAGTCTGTGATATCTTTCAACATAGCAAAACATAAATTTACTGTAACATCATATCATAATATTGTTATAATTAAGACAAACCAGACAGGGTTATCAAATACTGACAAAACTTAGTGTTAATCGCAATGTCTTTTCCAGTGCGACCTCTGTGAAAGAGGTTTCATTCGTGGGAAGATACATAAATTAAACAGTTTAAGCAAACATACATCCATAATTTTCAAATGGCATGTGTACGTTAGTGGGTCGTGAGTGAGTTAGGTGAGCTTAACCCCGCTTTGAACAGTATTTTGGTTATATGACGGCATGTCACCTTAATGTGGGAGGAAGGCCCGAAGTGTTGGATGTCTCAGACGTTTACCACCTTGGTGAACGCTAGTGGGTAGTTGGCTCTTTTATTTGCATGATGATGTAAGGGAGGTAACTCTAAACCCGGAAGTATTTCTATAAATAGAACGCAATGTTAACGTCTTTTGGAATGGTTGTGTGAGTGTTGTGATGATGTCATCATAGTAATACCGTCTCCTGGTTATGGAGATGGGCAGAAATAAACGTGTGATCAATATGTCAAATCATTATGATTTACATCATCGTATTCGTGCGATTTTCGTACATATCTCCTGAAAGGAACACACTATTGACCTTAAGCTAAAGGTTCAATCAAATTATCAATTTAGCTTTCACAGCGTTTTACATTAATGATGTGGTGAGTGCGCCGTTAAACAACAAATAAACAAAACACATTTAGAAATGTTGTTTTACATATTATTATTATTATCATAGAGTCTTTACCAAGACAAAAACAGCTAATGGCGTACCATCATTCTCATTCCGTAAAAAAAAAAAAAAAAAAAAATAAAAAAAAATCAATGCAGAATTCCCTGGTGTGCTGGGTTTGAAATCGAAAAAAACACAGCGGAATTATGTCAACTCACTTAGAGGGGCGGTCGGGTAGCCTAGTGGTTAAAGCGTTCGCTCGTCACGCCGAAGACCCGGGTTCGATTCCCGACATGGGTACAATGCGTGAAGCCCATTTCTGGTGTCCCCTGTCGTGATATTGCTGGAATATTGCTAAAAGCGGCGTAAAGCCATACTCACTCACTCAACTCACTTAGATGGAAAGTATCGGTATTTAATATAACGTTCAAAGTGACTGTGCACTCTATTATGAGCACTGATACAGTCGGTTAACACAGACCTACATGGAAGGTAGCACAAGGTGATACAATGGCATGAAGCTTTAATCCAAACACATCTAGACACTCTTCATCCAGTTTTAGCAGCTATAATGACTGCAGTTGACAAAACTAGAATGACTCCCTGTATTAACATTGATTTTTACACACACACACACACAAAAAGAAAGAAAAAAACCCCGTAAATTACATGTAACCTTAAGCGACAGACGCATTTAATGCCGACTTTCAGGTCCCGCAGACACTGTAATTTCCACTTTCGATCTTTCGTTTCAGATCTTAATAATTACAGTAATTATGAGTACTCCTCTTTTATATTATATAAACCTTTCAAAAGCATATCACAGCTAAAATAGTATCATCTCGTGACTGCTTTTAACATATATTAGTACCCGTGGCCCGATCATGACATATTGTGTAACGACGCCTCCCCGGATCAGTCACGTCACGTTTGCACTTATTCAGTTGTCCCGGGCAACCACATAAACGAGTTTGAAATTTTTACCTCATTTACATCACTGTGAATTAATGCTCTCAACAGCAAGTTATTTGCGTAAGTGGTGACGCTGATATAGCCTACCGAGAGGATGGAGACAGAAGGGAGGCTGTGGTTGTGGAATGATGGAGATGTACTGATTTTTGTTGTTGTTGTTTAACGCTGCACTCAGCAAAATTCCAGCTTTGTGACGACGGTCTGTAAATAGCGAGTCTGGACCAGTCAATCCAGTGATTGGCATAACGTCTGGACCAGACAATCCAGTGACTGACATCACGAGTATCGATCTACGCAATTGGGATACGATGACATGCATCAACCAAGTCAACGAGACTGACCCCCCGATCCGGTTAGTCGCCTCTTACGACAAGCATAGTCGCAGATGTACTGATAGAGCATAGTCTAACTCAGAAGTGTTTCAGAAAACTCATTAACAATAATAAGCTTTTGGGATATATTTTTTACATTAAAACTTTATCATCATGAAACAGTAAGATATGAATCCTTCCACCAAAGATGTGTTTGTAATGTGCAAATGAATTTTCAATGAATGAACACCGCGTTAAGCAATATTCTAGCCATACTTCTCAATTCATTTTACACAACAGTGTGGTTGTAGTCAAAGGCTAGCTATCAAACACACAAGCTAAGGCATGTGACAGGAAAGCATTAAGCCGAGTCCAATTTGAGTCATCCAGTACACACATGCAGAAGGTTGATAATACAGATGCCTCGTGGATTGCCTTGGAGAATAAAGGCATGCCAATCTTGAGTGGTCGAATGGAGGCTAAACATCAGCTATAGATTGAGAAATAATCATGCATATTGTCAATATACATTTGCAAAAACAATGACTACTACAACGATCTCATACGTATGCTTTAAAGCTACATTGTGCATTCTACAATGGTGATCCTTACCTCTCAACCCACCTCCACTATCGTCACGTTCAGACACGGAAGAGCTGAATGTGTCGTCACTCCATAGCACACAGCCAGTTGGTTGAAACTGGGTCGTATCGACCGACGCCTGTGTATAAATAGATTACGGCCTCTATGCGATACAGGTCTATACTATTTGGGAAGTCTAGATTATTGCAGTATCAGGAAATGATGAGAGTCTATGGCCTCCTTTTTATTATATTTCATAACAATAATTTAACAACTGTTTTATCTGTCAAATATGTTCATGTCAGAGATTAGATGTTAGTCTAGGCTTTCAGATACAACAGTGATATTGACCGGCCACTGACCTGACTTGACCGGGTTAAGCGCATGTCCTCTGGTTTAAACAACCCTCATGTAAACATGTTACTTCCCGTGAAGATTCCTGGGTAGAATAGGTCTTCAGCAACCAATGCTTGCCGTAAAAGGTGACTATGCTTGTCGTAAAAGGCGACTAAAGGGATCAGGTGGTCAGGCTCGCTGACTTGGTTGATGCATGTCATCGATCCCAATTGCGTGGATCGATGCTCATGATATTAATCACTGGATTGTCTGGTCCAGACTCGATTATTTACAGACCGCCGTCATATAGTTGGAATATTGCGGCGTTAAACAACAAACTAACCAACCATTGTTACTTATACTTAATCTTATTTTTCATTGTATTGTTGATCAAGTGAATGAATGAGTATGGTTTTACGCCGCTTTCAGCAATATTCAATCAGTATCACGGTGGGGACACCAAATATGGGCTTCACGCGTACACTTCACAAAACAGCAACTAAGGTTTTCTATGGTGGCTGATGAGGGCCATCGCCATATCGGCCTGAGATATCCACGCGATATCGCGACAAAGCGATAACACCACACGACATTGTGATATCGAGACACGATATAGCGAAATGTAATTATCCCGAATCCTGCACAGTACGCTAACACGATGAAATACACGTATCTTCAACGAGATTATATGAATATATGACAACAGCTGCAGATTCCTGTCATATATAAGGGCAAAAGTATGAAGATAGTATTGGGTGATATATGAAACTTAACCGAACAAATTATGTCTTTAGTCGTATATTGTGTTAAGCCATAAATCAGTGAACAACAAAATTATTTAATTAAGTTTATTGTAAAAAGATAAAGAAATAATGTAATTTGATTTTCTGTACGGACGAAATACTCGATCATCTTAATTTGACAAGTCTTAAAAAGAACTTCCAGGACAACAAGGTATGGAATAGTTTGTTTGCTTTTCCGTTTTCCGTACGCCTATGATCTATGGTCTATCGTTCCTATACTCTGTTCCTACAGAGGTTGTCTCGTTAACAGAGGAGGAATTTAGAAGTCTCGGAGTTGAGGCTATTGGTTAAAGGGCTCTCATGAAACAAACTTGACATTACCAGAACTTGAAAATACAATCATCAGTGTCAACTTTCCCAATGGTATAAACGAAACTCAAAACCTTCACATTATCATTCTAACATATTTCCTGGCCCATTTCAGGAGCGGTCGGGTAGCCTAGTGGTTAAAGCGTTCGCTCGTCACACCGAAGACCCGGGTTCGAATTCCGACATGGATATCATGTGTGAAGCCCATTTCTGGTGAACCCCACCGTGATATTGCTGGAATATTGCTAAAAGCAGCGTAAAAACCATACTCACTCACTCCTGGCCCATGTCAACGGTAATAAGCTTCCGCGTAAAATCAACAGTGAAGACTTTTGTGTAGATTTGTTGTATACAACAGGGACAACCTTTCTAATACGATTATACTTACACACTTCAGCAATCAAAGAGCAGGTATGTGTGACCTTTTTGAACTCCAACAAATGTAATGTTATAGCATAATTCACCACAATGAATCACCACAATTTATGTTTTACTTTCTATAATATATGCGTACGAAGGTGTGTTCGTTGTTTATTATGCATTGCTTAATGCCTCATTGGTAGTGTATTGCTGTTTAACATTAAATACCAGTATCAACTTCCTGGTGTATGTATTCGTCGGTTGCCTTCATAATGAGCGAATGTAACATATGTTGACATAAATCCTGACTTGTCAGTAATTGTATTTCAGCAAACTGACAACGGCGGTTCAGTGCATCTTAGTACTGTGTCGGTAGCTAACACCTTGATGTTGAATATCTGAACCGCAATTAATTTGAAATTCCCTCATATAGTATTTACGATTGAGCCATATGTAATGTTATATGCCGATGATATAGCCCTAATAGCACCTAATGAACAATTTTTACAGCGTGTGCTTGAATGGGTGGCAAATTGATGCTCTACATGGCAATTAAAAGTTAATAGAAAAAAACTAAAGTTGTTCATTTCTGTCAAGCTTCATGATAAAGATCAGATTATACATTTTATTTGGATGATGATGTCATTGATTATACAGAAGCTTATACATATCTTGGATTATGGTTTCATGAACACCTTAATCTTAATTTTACAGTTAATGAACTTGCAAAATCTGCAAGTCGTGGTTGGGTGGTCTACCTTAATAATGCTTGTCGTTTTTTTCTCTGAGTTGGTCAAAAGACTCCCACACTGGCAGTTCGTGGAGATATGGGATGGACATCCCCTCTCGTGAAACAACATGTTGAGCTTCTCAGATTCTTGCGTTTTACATTGAGCATAGCAGTCCATCATTGTTAGACCCGTGAATAAGTGGTCGCTTAGAAAATCCTGGTATAATGTTACATATTCACTTATTTTAAACTGGGCTTTACCTGTGTCAAATGTTTTTGACATATCCTCAGCTGAATTGGATTCTGCAAAACAGTAGTTCATGTGTATTAATTATAATAACTGGCTTGTAGAATTATGGAATGATAGAAATGTAGTAAAAGGTAATAAGCTAAGAACGTATAGACAATTTAAAACTGATTTTTATACAGAGAAGTATGTCAGTGCTTCACTTGATATATATGAAAGAAGTATTTTGGGTAAATTCCGTTGTGGAACCATGCCTTAAGAGATTGAATTGGGAAGATACACACAACCTGTAACTCCTTTAGTAAATAGACTCTGCAAGGTTTGTACCAACTGTGTTGAAGATGAAATACACTTCCTTGTAACTTGCGATCTTCACTTAGAACTACGTTATAATTTGTTTAATTCTATTCCTAGTTTAGATCCCACCTTCCTACAACTTAATCCCGCAGACCAGTTTAATCATATAATGAATAATGATTCACTATGTAATAAGTTAGCCGTTTTACTAACAAAAATGTATAAGCGTCGTTGTCACACACTTTCTTAATATCATGTCACTACCCAATTAATCCCGTTTTAATGCATTAATGTATATTTCATATTGTATATTTTAACTATTGATGTAACACGTATATTCGTGTCTCGTAGGTAATGCTGGCCGGTGGATGTATTTTTAATTCATGCCATATTTGCTGATTGTTAATGTTACTGATTTTACCTAATTATGGCGTGTGAAGCCCTTCTACGCCGATACGACTGCGGCCTCTGGAAAATAGAATTCACTGAGCGCGATGGGTTTGATGGATAGGTCCACCTTACATCACTATAGCTTGCTATGTAGTAGCTGCAAGTGTTCAGTCTGACACATAAACGTCTACAAGTGAGTGAGTATGGTTTTTCGCCGCTTTTAGCAATACTCCAGCAATATCACGGCGGGGGGACACCAGAAATGAGCTTCACACATTGTACCCTTGTCGGAAATCGAACCCGGGTCTTCGGCGTGACGAGCGAACGCTTTAACCACTAGGCTACCCGACCGCCCCTAAACGTCGACAGGATTTAATTGCTTGTAGATATACTGTAGGTAATGGAACCTTTATGAATATTTTAATTCCATTTATATTTAGTTAATACTTATATCAGAAAACGCTTATGTTTACAGAAAATATTGGAACAATATTGAGTGTATTTTACACTGGTATATTAGCGTTTTCAAATGAATGCAGCAAGGTTAACGTATAACGACTGAGTTAGTCCGGCAGAATGTTGACACGACCTTGCAATTTAGGTCCCACAGTTGTTTTTGCATGATTTCATTTGTTCAGACACTACATATGAATAAACTAATGGTTGCCACTTTGGCACCCTTGAGGGTTTTGAAAAAAAAAGATTTGAAAAAATTGGCCCAATTTTCATATTCGGCATCATTGCTTTCTTAGTAGTCCAGTCATCATGTTACCAATCATCAGGACTGGTAGTGCATGATCTTCACCTTGAAGAATGTTACACAAGAGTTCCTGAAGCTACAACTCTCCCCAGCAACTTGGCAGTCGATTCTTGTCTGGTATTCTTCTTTAGAAAGTGGTATTTCTTTAGTTTCCTTTCTTACTTGTTTTGAAAGTTTCTTCATGGAAGAAGTCAAATCATCATCTTCAGTTTCATCAACAACCAACTTAAGGGTGTCTGTGGCAGTTTCACGGAAAACAAGAATACTGGCTATTCCATTTCCTCTTAGAATAATCAGTTCATCAGCAAAGCACCTTGATATTTCTTCAATAAACTGTCTTTTTGAAAGTATGACCCCTCCACTCTCTAGGTACTGATTGTATACTTCTGTGGAATTTGTAATTTGTTTCCGATCAGCATTCATTGATCTGATCACATAGAGTGATTCATCTGAAATTGATTCGGTTCCTTTCAGTTTTGAAGTAGCTAATTGTACAGATTTAGGGGCCATAAAATTTGTTCTACATTTGTCATGATATCTTGCATCTGCAGCATGAAGATCACTTATGGCTCCATCTACTCTAAGTCGAACTTCATCTCCACACCTCTCCTGGCGTATATCGCATGTCCCTAGAATTATATTCTTGAATGATCTTTGGCCATCATCTGCAGTTCTGCAAAGAAGAGATCTCTTCCATCGTCCAGGATTTCTAGAGTCTTTTTCAATTTCACATCGGTTCCCACAGAATAAGCAATGTTTTAGAAAGTTAAAGTCAGTGCTTGAAACTGAACGACGCCTTCTCTTTTTGGATGGTTCTGGCAGGCATTTATCTGAACAAAATTTTGAAAGTATT